GCTACCCGCACCTCGCCTCCAGCGAGGCCTGTGAGTACGGCGCACAGCCGGTCACCGCGTTCCTCTCTCCGTCCTCGGCTTACACGGCATCGTTAGCGCTTGTTTTGCAATCGTGTGTCCAATGTAAAAGTCAGCAGATTTTTTTTAAGGAACTGGAAATCATAGGCTCACTGAGGCGCTCGAGAACATTTCTCAACCGCGGCAACCGGAAGATAGTTCTTGCTCTTAATGCTGTGGCACATCTCAGCCCACAGTGAATCATGAAGCCGGTTAGAAGTGTAACCTATGATTTCCGCAGCTTAGCTAGCGTTCAACTCATGTACCTGCTGCTATCCTTTCTAGTAACTATCAGAGGTATTACAGGATCAGAGGTATTACACTGTGCTGTACCCAGTTACATGTGGTGAGATCTATGTGCAGTCAAGAGATCATCCTTTCTTTCAGTACAGGGTGGCTTGCTTTGCTTATTCATCTGCTGTCATTAGAAATAACTACATTTGAATCGAAGCTACCTACGCTGGTTTATGTACATGGTATTTTTGTTTTTCCTGGGAAACCGGAAAGTGTTCAGTGAACTTCTTGTTTTCGTCTTGCAGTTTTATAAGTCCACTTTCATTCTATCAGTAGATACAAGAAAGGATTTAAAACCACAGTGGTTATATTGGATTTGTTCTGCTGTGCTGCTTTAGTTCTATGACTGAAGTCCAGGGTGGAGAAGTACTCTAAAATCAAGTCCTAATCACCAGAGAAGTTTCTTAGCAGAAATAAGGATGAGTTGATAGTATTGCTTTTTGTCTGGGCAGGTTAGCACAGAATTCAACATACTCAATTAATCTAGTTCTGTCTTTAGATAATCTTCTGTACTAGGCGAGGCAGTTGTTTGGTATCCAGGATACAGAACCTTAGGAAAAAATCCTTTTAATCTTAAGTCATGCGTCTGCAGCAGGATTAATTCCACCTGACTTGTGATAGAATGTGGTGATTTTAAGTTTACTCCATCTTTTTTGGTACATTTAGCCAAGTAGTGCAATTTTTGTGTGTGAGTTTCTCATACATTTCAATGAAAATGAGGTATAGCAGCAAAATTGCTAATGCTGTAATCAAAGTACAAGTTATCTGCCCTTGTCCCTGCTGGCTTCTTGCCTGCTTGTGTAAAAGGTTCCAAATAGCCATACAAAACTTGTTGTTCTGCAATCATTTAAGGCATGATACATGTTCAGAAAAAAGCCTGCTGTCTTGGATATGAATCCCTGACTGAACTTACAACTTACCACAGAGAGCCGTGGAGATTGCAGTAGTTTTTTAAGTTCTGTTTCCTACCCAGAACTTCCAGTATATGCACTCTGTGTTTAGGTTAAAATGGAAGATTGAGGTACTTTCTTCATGTCCCTGAATGGCTTTTCTCTGGTAGTTTAGAGAAATGTTTGAACTGTATAACTTATAACCAACCATTCTTTCATGCTGAGGCAGGTCCAATAAATCATTATACAGCAATTCACCCCTCTGTTTTTTAATCTGCTGCTTCAAATGTGTGACTCTGGTCAGTTTATTACTGCTTTGATGTTTAAAAAACAATATAAATCTACAGATTTATAGATACAGTGTATTTTTATACCTATATATATATGTGATTTTTTAAAAAAATAATATATTTAAAAGATACTTGTTTCTTCACTAGAATTTACTGAGTCACCTTAAATGGAATAACAAAATTATTTTAGCTTTTTTTGGGTTTTTTTTCAGTATTTTGTACTGTACTTCAGTACTCAAACTTAAGGGATACCTTCAGATACCACTCTTCATTTTACTTACCTTACTTCATCTCACTGCCCCCGTACACGTGCTCATTAAATGGTGGGGTCTGATTTCCCCCCCCCCCCCCCCCCGTTTTATTTATACCCCCCCCCACCGTTGTAATTAGTAAGCACCTTTATAGTAAGCACCTAGCAATATTACTTGACAGGCTATAGCTCAAAAAAAAAAAAAAAGAAAGCATAATCTATATAAAAGGAAGGTAAAAGGAGAAGTAAACTGCGGTTAGGTCTGGCTTAGTTACCCAACCCTTATCATCTATGTCTTAAATGCAAGAATATAATCTGATATGTTTTAAGTCAGTTGGGTTAAACTGGAATTCTGCCCAATGTGCAATATTTAACATTGCCGTTATTAAGCACCGTATTTGTTTTATCATCTTACTGATTAACTGTTGACTCTCTGACTAGGAGCTTGCATTATTTCAGGAGCACATAAATGAAAAATAGCTGCACGGTACCACCGTTAAAAACAGCATTGGTTAGAATTTAAAAAACAAAGGGAGATGTGGCACTTGAAGAATCTCTTTAAGGCTTGTTAGCATTGTCCTGTCAATCCATGCTTACTTGAGGAATAACTTTTTTTTTTCTTTTCTGTAGATCATTTAACTGTAACTGAGCCTGTGGCTATACTGAAAGCAGATGAGGTATGGGGTGCTTTAAGAGGTAAGCTGATACTTTTCCTATAGAGCTATTTGTTCTGGGCTTATACAAGCTCCATGCAGGACTAAGAACCAGCTGACCACTGAGCCTTGCCCTCATTCAGTCCTTCATGGGAAGTAAGTTTGGGCATAGAGGCCAGAAGGATACCCAGATGTGTGTTGGTCAGACCCTCAGTCCAGGTGCTCAGCATCTCAGATCCAGTGGCACACCGTAAGTGCACTCTTGCTGTGCCTGAAATCAGCCAAGCCAACCAAATCCTGGGTGCTAAAAAGCTCTTTGATTTACAGTGTGAACGAATTATTCACTGACTGCACCTAATAGCTGAACATGCTGGACACATCACCAAGAATACCATAATACTGAAGTTTCAGTTTGCTGTTCTTACTGGCATGTTAGTCAAAATTAGCAGATTTTTCATGCTGAATTAGAAACTTCACCAGTTCCAGAAATGACAGGAATAGGTGCATGACAACACCAGAAATTCCTACCTTACTCTCAGTGACTTCCACACTATTTAGGGATTAATTTGGCACAGCTGAGCTGTAGTGCTAATATTCAGTACTTGTGAAATGGAGAGCTTGAATGGTTCTCTCTTCAGAATTTCATTAACTGTGGTGCTTGAGCAATTAAGGAAACTCTGCTAAAGAGAAAGAAACTCAGCTACAAAGCATTCTTTCTAGCTATGTGAATGCCTGTAAATAGTTATGATCCTGTTTTTAACTAACACTTTAAGGACAAGGAGTGGGTTGTACTCCAGATCCCTTTCTTGGATTTTTTCCAGGTTTGGAAACCTTCAGCCAGTTGGTTCATGAAGATGACTATGGAAGCGTAAGTATAGCTATTAACTAAAACCATGGTCCTGATAACACATTCTTTATTAGGTGCCTTTCTGGAAACAGCACATCTACTAGTTTCATTAACTATTTTTTCAGAAAATGATCCTTGGAAAGCTGTTAACAAACTGAAAAGTAAGTATTTCCTGTTTGAGATGATGAATATGAAATGGGAATTCTAATTTTTAAATCTTGTTCTTATAGTTTCTTGTCAATGAATCTGAAATCGATGACTTCCCAAGATTTGCTCATAGAGGAATCTTACTAGACACTTCAAGGCATTATTTACCATTGAAATCTATTCTTACAAACCTGGTAAGCGGGCAGTTTTGTATCATTAATAATGAAGACTTTTCGTTGTTGTGTTTTGCCCCCTGAAGTAGGTAGCAACTGGAGCTGCTGTGAAAGGAGAACCCATCTCCTCTGGGTGAATTCTAAAAGGACAGAGTGAACTTTGCTAAGTGAGGGTCAGAACATACACTGGAGAGGAATTGAGTGGGCAGACACAATGATTAGTGAATCTGTAAAGGAGGCTGGCATTTGTGGTACCTTGGGATTTTTGTATTTTCTGTTGCCTAAACCAGCTCACATATTTCTTGGAAGCATGTTTTGAGACATCTCACTGTCACCAAGCAGTTCAGGTGAGACCTTGCAAGTCCTGGCTTCAGTGCCAGTGGTTGCAGGACAATTCCAGTCTTTTCAAATAACCAGGCTTTGGCAGTCCTTTCTTAGGCTGCTAAGAGCAAGCCAGTAATTAAGTAGTACAGAGCAAGGGGGGAAATTGGAAATGTTCGTTGGAAGCTACTGATTTCTTTTACCACGTCCCTTCAAAAAGGAGAAAAAAAAAAACCACCAAAAAACCCAACCAAAACTTTTTCCAAAAAGCTTAAGTAAGCACACTAAGAATTGTATACTCCCAGCCTGACGGGAAGCTGATGAATTTGTGTAATCACAGCAGCCAAAGCTGTGGGTTTTTCTGTTTTGTACGCCACTTTTCTGCTGTTGAAATCCCTGTAGCAGGACTTACTTGGTGGGTTGAAATGGAGGAGCCTCTGAGTGGAGGAACATGCAGTTTCCTGTCTTGTCTCTGCCTCGTTTTTCCAAGATGAAATAGTGTTAGAAGTTTGAGGAGCCTTTGAGTGGTGGAACATGCAGTTTCCTGTCTTGTCTCTGTCTTGCTTTTCCAAGATGAAATAGTGTTAGAAATTTACCTTCCATGTTGCAGAACTTTGCAGAGCAGGCTTAAGATGGGCAGGAAGAGAGTGGAGGTAAAACCAGACTTCATTTCTGAGGTCATCCTTGAACTGTGCTCAGAACTTGCCTCTCCATGGGTATTTACCACTTGTATTTACCCTTAAGATCAGTCCCTGTTCAGCAAGTAGTTTTTGTGTAGCGTTTCATTTACAACTGAGGGTGCTTCAAAGACTCAAGTAGTTACTTGTGTCAGTATTTGTTGTCCTTTCTAAAAGAGACAACAGTGTCCGAAGAATAACTTGACTTTTGAGACTTGCATTTCTAACCATTTTTGTGTTTCTCTAACTGTTGCTATTCTGTTTTCTTTCCTTAAATTATGTCTGTGGCTCTAATACTTTCCCAGAGCTACATTTTATGACATTTTGCTGATTTTAAGAACAAGTGCGCTTTTCCTCCCACCTCTGTGCCTGCTTGAATCCAGCTGCTGTACTGAATTTCCAGGAAGGGCATTATCCTTGAGGAAGGAGTGGCTGAGGTGAAAGTCAGGAGATAAAATTTTCTGTGTGGAAAGATGGTATTTGATAGAAATGCATGAAGACATGGTAATTAAAACTCCTGCTGTGTAATAAAACAGATGAGATCATTTTGGGGAATGGACAAGGTATAAATCATCCTTTGAATTTGGTGGGAGTTCCTGAAGAGATTTTGTCACTTCTTTAAACACAGCTTGATGAAAAAAGAAAGGGGGAGGGGTGGAAACAATTGTATTGTGGCAAGGGAATGGAAGCAACTGTGTTGCATGTACTCAGTCCTGAACAATGTAGAAAACACTTATTCTGTCTGCTTGCAGCACACAACACTTCCAGTGACTCTAACAAACTTGCATAACTCAGAGTATGTGTGTAACTATCCATCTGGAGTCATAATTATAAAATAAATGTGTTAACATTTATCTTGATTATCTTCAAGTTCAAAAATGGGAAGCACTGACACAATAATGACTGAAAACATAAGGGGAACAGTATGTTCTGTGGGGAAAATGCATGGTTTATTTTGCATGCATTTGAAATGGATTCTGCAGAAGTCACTAGCAAGTAGGGATGTACTAAATAATAGGAAACTCTCATGCTGTTTAGTTTTCGAGTCCAAAGTATTTAGGTCGAAAAGTATAAGCCTTGATAGCAGTTCCCCTTCTACCAGCCAGTGTAGCATGATCAGCAAGAACTTGTTGACAGGAGTGGTGCAAACAGATGGCAGAGGAATGGTGGGTTTTGGTGTATGCTTCTAGGATTTGATGAAACATGGTATGCATTTTCTTTGTTTTTGTTTTGTTTGGGTTTTTTTTCAGTTGTTGCCTTAGGCATGCAGGATGTACTGGGACAAGACCACTGTTTCTGCATAGGTTTTCTGTGAGAGTGAAGTGCTTAATTAGACTGTATTGCATTATTTGTTACAGGATGCCATGGCTTTTAACAAGTTCAATGTTCTCCACTGGCATATAGTAGATGATCAGTCATTCCCTTACCAGAGTATTTATTTCCCTGAGTTAAGTGACAAGGTGAGTAAACATCATTGGAGCAGGGTGGGAAGGCAGAAGTCTGGCACGTATTTCGTGAAAATAAAATGCAGAGCCTACCAATGGTTGAATACATCTGCCTTGGCTGATTGTGAAACAGAGGACCAATAACCAGCAAGTCCACATTTAGGATCCTACCTGCGTGTCTGTGTGGACCATGTTCGGGTCTTGGTGGATGCACGGTAAATGACCTTCCAGACTCTTCTGTGCAAATTTGCTGGTGACAGTGATCATCAGTGTTTGCAGGCCTTCAAGCAGTAATGGTGTGCAAATAACCTGTTGTGGTGAACACTGCTTTGATTTCTCTTGGTTTGTTTGTTTAACTGGTAGACTTCCTGCCACTCAAACAAATGTAAGAGAGTTTCCTGTCAGCTCTATGCTTGGAACTATGGCAGTAGTACTTTAGCCCTTTCTGAGTTCTAGTTAACTTTACAAAAAACAACATGTCTGTAAGAGGTCCAAAAGTGAGAGGTTTTTTTCTAAAACAATACAGTGCAGTGTATCTTTTTATTTCCTGATTCAAGCAGATTTTGCTAATTAATGAAAGCCATCATGAGGTTCTTGCTCAGTCACAGTGCCGTAGTAGCCAAATCAAGCATGAATAATTAAGTAGACTGAGCCTAAGCACAAGATTTGTGATTCTGTTTTAAAATGCTTGTTAGAATCTGGCCCTCATGAGAATTATGTAGGCAGTGCTTGAGCAGATGCCATGAAAAATTTAGTAATTCAAAAATTGTAGATGTTGGGTGGTGCAGTCAGATTATTTTTCCTATTAATGGCTGTGGAGTTCTGTCCTATTCCCCACTGACAGCTGGAGAGAGGGAGATGGCCTTTGTCTCAATAGCCTTCTTTTTGAAAGGCTTCTTGTTTACCATTATCTTTTATGAATAACTCAGCTGTGGAAACCAATTCCAGATAAATAGAAGCTTAAGGTGCTATTAATCATGAGGAGTCATGATGCTTTTCTTGTTTGGCTCTTTGGCAAGCATCTGTTTCACCAAACTGTAGCAGTCTGGGTCATTTGTCACATTTGTTGGCTGTGTGGGAGTGTGTGACGCTCAAATTCAGTGTCACAAAACAAACATGCCCTGATGCTAAATTGGGCATTGTATCAAAACTGACAAGAAGAGGTGTTGGAAGAAGACACTGTTCCTTCTGACTTGGCAGAATTTTTCCATTAATCTTGGATGTCATGTAACAAGGACCCTATGTTTCAGAACTAATAATGCAGAGGTGGAGGGGAAAACTAACTTGCCTCTGTGCAGAAGAATTGAAAAATATATCTTTCAAGAATCTGATGGAATAGAAACTAGCTTTTCTGTTTTCTTCAGTAACTGTGAGCTAAGGAAGAAAGGACGGTCTCTCAGGAGATTTGTCTTAGTGTGGAAAAAAGGATTAATTTTTGTGGTTTCCCCCTGCCACTAGTCAACCGAAAAGTTCTGTTTGTGCAGTTGCACGTGTGATAAACCAGAAAAGGCCAACTTGTAAAACTGCTCTCCAGTCTAAGTTGTAACACTTTAATCCCAATTTTGTCAGCTGCTGGTATAACGTTTTGTAAACTGTCTCTAAATGTGAATACTTTACAGGGAGCATACTCCTATAACCACATCTACACTCCTTCTGACGTCCATCTGGTGATTGAGTATGCCCGGTTAAGAGGCATTAGAGTTATCCCAGAGTTTGATACTCCAGGACACACGCAGTCTTGGGGAAAAGGTATGTCCAAGAAAGTATTAATGGTTATAAGATTGTGGTATGTAGGGTGTAGCAAGCAAATGAACGTCTTAAAAAGCAGCCTTCAAAGTGCTTTGAAAGGCCCTTGATAAGAGGTAAGCAAGGGGCAGACTCAGTGATGGTCATATTTACATATTAGAGGAACTAAAGTGGATGGAGAAGGCTGACTTCCTGTGCTGGACGTGTGTGCAAAGGCACAGATGCATTGTTTGCCTTAGACTTTGTGTTGTTATCCCCCCATCCAGTACTCTTGAGTTTAGGCAGTGGCTAGAAATAGTGAGTTGCTGCCTCTAGAGTAGAGATTTCTGCTTTGGGAAAGTCCTTTTAAAGTGGTTGATGCTTCTGTCTGTTAGTAAAGTGGTAATCTGCCAGTGTACAAAACACAGCAAAGTTGGATGCTTCTTCAGTCTCTATCTTCTGGGTTTGAGAGTAATACTTCTTTCGATAGAGAGTGCTTGCATCCTGAGAGTGGTGGTGTTTACGTGTACTCAAGGGCCAGGGAACCGTATGCTTAATTCAAGGTGCACTGACTGCGATTTCGCTGCAATTAATGTAAGATGGTTTTGGCCAAACTGGAAATAGTAAAGATTTTTCTAGCGCTTCATAGCTTTAGCTTTAGCGATGGGGGCAAGTCTTGAGCTCATCCTGTGGGGATGTGGCCATAATTCTGGAAGATGCCTCAGGCTCTTTCTCACTAATTTAAAATGAGGAGGAAAGGAACAAGACAAAACCTAAATTTACTAAACAGTCTTTCTGAATCCTTCATCTCCTGTCTTTGCTGTTACAGAGCATTAATAAAAGCCAGTGGCTTGCCTGGTGATGTGTGAGGTGGTCTACGTTCATATTAAGAACAAGGTTCAGCTCCGTTGCCTAAAATCAATTGATCCTGATAGCTTCTTGTATAATAGCTTTTTTTAATGTGGTGCACAGGAGCCAGTCCTGGCTTTGCCTATGAACCTGGGTAGCTATGCTCTGTTTGCATTCAAATTCAAGATAGGCATGCGAGGAGAGTAGTTGAAGCAATCTACCAGTAGGGCCCTGTTTGGGGGAAATGTGCTCAGAGTAGGAAACACACAGCCAGGAATGTGCTGCTGCTGCAGCCACCGTTTACCAAATAAACTGGACTCGGGAATCTCCAACCTACTTATAATAACTTTTTCCTATTTTGTTATCTTGGCTCATGTTGCTTCAGGTATCTTGACTCAAGAACCAGTGCTTAGTTTTGATGTCTGTCTAGCCTTCCTTTCTTGTGTAGAGGTAAATTGCTAGCAGACATCTACCTTGAGCCATATACCTCGCACCTACTTAGGTGTTACAAAGCAGAGTAATAAAAAGAGAAAAGAGGCCTCTGGAGCACATTTATTATATTTGGCTTCCTTCTAATTGGCTTCCTTCCTAAATCCATTAAAGCTTTTTTATTCAAGTAGTCATCCAGAAGCTATTTTCCAGGTATAGTGACATATTCCATAAATTAGTGTGTGTTAAATCACAAATCTAAAAGTCAGAGTCCTGATTTCCAGTTAGATGGTTTTTCAACCTTGGGCAAGTTGTTTTATTTCATCCTGCCTCTATTTGGTTATACTTAGAATAGATGAGCACTTAAGTCATGAATGTTAACCTTTTTAATATGGGTAACTGCCTCTTCCTGCTAGCAAAGTTAGCATACCAACATGAAACTGAATATCCTCTATTAATTGTTTCTATTAGGTCAAAAAGATCTTCTCACCCCTTGTTACAGTGGAGAACAGCCAACTGGGTCCTTTGGACCTGTGAATCCCATTTTGAATACAACTTACGACTTCATGACTAAATTCTTCAAAGAGATCAGCAGTGTATTTCCAGATGCATACATTCATTTGGGAGGAGATGAAGTGAACTTCGATTGTTGGTAGGGTGACAGTTCAAAGAATAAATATCTAGTGCCTCTTAAACTTGCCTAAACCCATCAATTATGGAATTCAGTTGCGTGAGACAGTTTTCACTGCTTAAGCCAAAGGTCTCCACTCTTACTTCTGTAACTGTTTACAGGCAGAGCATTTGTAATCCTCAAAAAGCAAGTGATGTTGTACAGAATTTTGATTTGACTAGTAGTTTCACAAATGTTCAGGTACTCTAAAGGATTTCTTTATGAAAATTAACCTGGCAGGAAGGAGAACTAGTACGGTAGAAAAGTACTATATAAGGTAATTAACATTTAAATGCTTTGTGTTAAAGGAAAAGCAGTTCTTTCCATCGAGTTCTCCCTTCCAGAAAATCTGCTAACATTAAGTATTACAGTACTGACTCTTGTGCGCATGTATTAATAGAGTTTTTCAATTGATTGTGCATTTTGAATATTTTGGAGGCTCTCTGCCAGAGTAACTTGGAGCAGATCTAATTGGATGAGTATTCAAATTGATCTACTTAGTATTTGTGCGTTCTCTTGAAACATCAAATCTGAAGACGCAGGACTTGCTTTAATTTTTAAAAAGAAAGAAAATTTCTGACAGATGCTTTATCACAAAAGTGTTTGTTTGCTTTTGGGGTATTTTCCCAAATTCTTGATGTCAGTCCTGCAGATCCCCTGGTACTATGGCTGCTCAGTTTCCAAACCTGCTGGCAACCTTCCCACAAAGTCGCAGAGAAGCCAGAAACCCCAGAGCTCTTAGAAGCTTGAGGCAGCCTGCCAGAGACTGCTTCATAACAGGGACTCCAGTAATTCTACCAGAGAAGTAGGCTATGTCAAATCAGGATGAAACTGTTTCAAAATGCTTAAATCATGTTAGCCTGCTGCTTCTGCTCTGTTGTGCATTCCAGGCTATGGTGTGCCTAAGGCATCAGCTAGTGTGCTGTAAATAGGTGGAAGTGGTTGGGAAATCTGGTTTAAAACAAAAAAAAAAATTACTTTTTTTTTTAAACTTGTTTTGTTGTTGTTATTTAAGGAAATCTAACCCTGAAGTGAAAGAGTTCATGAAGAAGCAAGGATTCGGCATTGACTATGCTAAACTGGAATCTTACTATATTCAGAAGTATGTTGTTTTTTTAATTCTTGCTCAGCTTTTCACAGCCACTATTTGAGGGTGGTGTTGAGTTGCAGATACTGAAGCTGATTTAGGTTAGCCTATATTGTTTTCAAAAATTGCCGTGTATGGGGGACTACCCACCTTGTTTTATTTTAATACACTGAATGTAAAGTTCACAGCTTTAAAAAGTGGGACACGACAAGGACACGTAAACTAGTTCTACGCACACTTTGAATTATTGAGTATCTTAAACTAGGTGTCTGCTGTAATGTCAGCACACAGGGTGGGGAGGAAAAGTCCTAAGGTTTTTGCAGCCATTTAATTCTCTCATTCTTAAATAACATGGATTTAGACACCTATATGAGTTGCTGATAGTTCTGAACATCAGTTTGTGTTACTGCACGTGCATATTCTTATACATGGGAGAACATCCTCTTCGAGGCAGAGCACTGAAGGCCAAAACCAGAAAAAACTGTTTTTTCTTGGTTCCCTATGCAGTGCTGGGAAAGGCCTGATGTGCCGTAGGGTAGAAAATATTGCTACTTTGTGAACTTCAGTGAGATTGGTACAGGCACATGAACATGATCTTACCTCTAAATTCTAGGGTTTTGGACATTGTTTCCTCCTATAACAAAGGATACATGGTCTGGCAAGAAGTGTTTGATAACAAAGCAAAGGTAAGATGGGAAAATAAATAAGATACTCTTGCATAATAGCACAATGTTGTGGGAGGCTTACAAGGTAGACTATTAAGTAGTTATGGTTGTGTCTCTTAAGAGTTAAAGCAAGTCTGCTGACTTTAGCAAGTCTCCCCAGGTGTGGGGCCTGCCTTGAAATTATCATTTATTGAACATGTAAAATAGGTGGAACAGGAACACCAGCATTGAAGTGCTTTCTAAAGGTGAACACAGATAATACAATATGCTTTAGAGCATCAGAATAAAGGGTAGGAAAGTTTCTATGAGTTTCCATATTTTTTTTCTCACGTAACTGTGCAACTGTAACACCAGGTGCTCAGCTTCTCAGAGGTCGTCAGGTAACCCTGACCATGTAGGAACCCTCTTACGGCATTAACTGTCTATAGTATAACCCAGGCTTCACTCTAGTGTGAACTTCATTTAAAACCAGCAAAGAGCTAATGAGGTGGGAAATGACAAAAGGTAGCTTCCAAAATGTTCCTCTTCAAAACAAAATACCCGGTTTTGAAATACATCATCCTTTTCCTGATAACAGCAATTAGCTTTGTCTTTAATGGTTTTGGGTTTTGTTTTGTTTTGTTTTTTCCCTTTTTAGCTGAAACCAGACACTGTAGTTCAAGTGTGGATGGGAAACAACTATGCTCATGAACTGAGCAGTGTGACTGGAGCTGGATTCACTACTATCCTGGCAGCTCCCTGGTACTTAGACTACATTAGTTATGGGCAAGACTGGAAGAAATACTACAGTGTTGAACCACTTAACTTCCCTGGTTTGTTACTTTTTTTATATGCATGTTCTGTGCATGAAAGTCTTTTCATAGTAAGGTGTAAATGGAAAGAATAAGGCTATTTAGAGCGGTCATGCAGTCACTATGATCAGATATGCTGTAATCAAAGGACTTTAGTTACAGCTAGAGCTCTGGAAAACTCTCAAATTAAAAAAAAAATGCAGCTTTCCACTTCTCACAGGGAAAAGTGTTACCTTCCTCAAGCATCTGGCACTGGTGCTTGTGTGAGACAGTACTGGACTCGGTGGACAGATGCATCATGCATTAGGGGCAGAGTTGTGCAAAATGGCTGTGGTTAACGACCTGCTACGCC